GTTAAATAAGTTCTTGGACAATTTTTGGAACAAATAAGTCCTTGAATAATCCAAAACATGTTAAATAACTTTTTGAAAAAAATAAAGTGGTAAAATAGTGAAAAAAATCCGGAAAAAAACCCAATGAACATTAATATTTTGAACGATTAAGCCCCTAAATATTTTTTGAACCAAAAAGTATTTAGATCTATAAAATTAAACAAATATAACAAAAAAATACTTACATTTACAAAAAAATAATTACCATTTTAACTAGTTGTACAAGTCATTAGAATGTATCCAACATGTTTTATAAAAGTTCGAGAAGTTATTTAACATGTTTTGGATTGTTCAAGGACTTATTTGTTCCAAAAATTGTCCAAGGACATATTTGTTCCAAAAATTGTCCAAGGACTTATTTAACATTTTTTGGAATGTTTAAGAACTTATTTAACATATTTTGGAATGTCCAAGGACTTATTTAACATATTTTAGAATGTCTAAGGACTTATTTGTGCCAAAAAATTGTCCAAGGACTTATTTAACATGTTTTGGAAAGTTCAAGGACTTATTTGTTCCAAAAAAAAGTTCAAGAACTTGATCATTCCAAACCAGAAAGTTCATTGGTTTTATTGTACTTTTCCCTTAAAAGTAAGTACTTTTGGTATATTTGTTTCATTTTATAGATATAAGTACTTTTTTCGTTCAAAAAATATTTAGAGACTTAATCCTTTAAAATATCAAAGTCAATTAGCTTTTTTCAAAAAAAATTCATTATTTTACCGCATTAACCAGTTGTACAAGTCATAAAAATGTATCTAACATGTTTTAGAAAGTCTAAAAAGTTATTTAACAGATTTTAAAATATCCAAAGACTTATCTATACTATATTATAAAGCATTTGACAAAAACTCTTAAAACCTATTTTTTATGCATGAACTACAGTACATTAATGCATATTACTTAAAATTTAAGATTACAAGTAAATTATGCACAAGTACAACTTATTAAAGCTCCATGTTTGAATTCGTGTAACTAACTGCGGATAAACATAATCAAATAAAGGATAAACATCTCATTTTAAAATATAAAAAATCTAAAATATAACTAGGATAATTATCGAGTTCTAACAAAATAATTAATTATTATCTTTATAAAAAAATTATATTATTAAACCAAATATAAATTACTTTGTTATTGAACCTAAATTAAATTATAATAAAAAAACTGAATTAAAAGTTACACAAAAATAAAGAATTTGAAACAGTTAATTTGATACTAATATCGATATATTTTTGTCAAATTTTTATGATACCTTCAAATTTATATTTTATTAAAAATAAAAACATTATCGGTTTTTCAAAATCACATAAGACCATATTATAACATCGACTCAAATGAAAAATAAAATGAAATATTAAAATCAAGATGTATCTCGTTGCATTACGCGAATACCTTTTAATTTATTCTAAAAAGTTATCATTTTGAAGAATAAAAATCCATTAATTTTTTTTTTGATTTCTCCTAATATAAATGGTGCAAATAATTTTTTTTTTCCCGGTATTTATCTTTCAAATATGGTTTCTAGTGGTAAGACACAAATTTCAAAGTGGCTAAAGGATTACTCTTTCCATCCTTTTGTCATCTTCTTTACTTTCTATTTCCATGTTTTCTTCGTTTACATCACACCTTTCTAATTTATAATTTTATGATGCCAACATTTAATAATTACAAAACTAGAGAGTCAAAGAGATGACACGACCGTTAATGCTAGTGCTAAATTCTGCCTCCCTCACTATCAATATATGACTTAGGTTCACTTGCATTTTAGTAATCCAACATAAATATTTTATCTTTATAAAATTTTAATCCTATACTCAGTTCTAGAAATGTGAATAAATTGAAAATATATGTATATAAAGAGCATACGTGATAGAGTAATTGTCCAAAGTGGGAGACAATGTGATAGTAACATGGGGGTAGGAGAGAGACAGTAAAAGAAAGGAAGGTGATATGGTAGGAGGGGGATCAGAGACGATGACTAGTTGGTCGATAGTGGAAAGAGGGAGATCCAAAAAGACATGTAAGTTTGTATGTATTATCTATATGTAAATTATATTGTTTTTGTCGATTTAAAAGTAAAATCAAAATGACCAAAAGGTCCTTGATTTAACGGAGCTAAGTTAACAGAGATGAAGGAGGGACCTAAACCATAACAAAACTAAAACCACAGTTACCATGCCTATAATTAGTTTGTTTAAAGGACCAATCCAAAATTTCATATAACCATAGGGACTAAATTTGTAATTTACTCTTCCATTAAAGATGTAATTACATCAAGTAGTTAAGTTGCGTAAACCATAGTCCTCAATTGTACCATCAGTGGGCCCACAATTCACATGCAGTGCAGGTCAAACCTATCGAGGTTCTAAAATGGTCTATTATGAAAAGTAAAAGGGAGCAAAGTGTAAAATAAAAGGGCGCGTAAATGAAGCGACGAAAAGGGCAGTCAGTTGGTCGGGTATATGACGGTGGTTGGACGTAACTGTCCCTTCTTAATCTCAACACTTGTGCCTCGTTCCATGTGCCAACTCATCCCTTTCTTTATTTTACATCCCGCAACTGTAAAACTGTTAAAAATGTCACAATTTTATTTTAATAATATTATTTATATTTAATAAAATATCATTTTTGTCCTTCTAAATATTTATTTTAAAAACTTATTATTAATGCAAATTATTAAAATAATAATTTCCCTCTATAATAAACAAAAGTAATAATTATGTCTAAATATTTTATTTAAATGAAAAACAAGCAAACATCCCCCATCCTCTCTTTTTAGTCTCATTTGAACCCCCACCCCATGATACTTGCTCATTAGCCAAAGCAAAAGCCTACCCCCACCCCACCCC